AAGGGACCACATAAAGACCAGCATGTGTAGTCCAGAGAAAGTGGAATGTCAGCAGCTGACAAAACAAAATGACAGTTTCATATGGACAGAACCAGGATTTAACACAACGCGCTGTAGCAAAGGGGAAAGTTCAACTCAAACCACAGAGCAAACACTCTCCTCGACCTCCGGTGCTTTTTTCTTTTTTTCCTGTCTCTTTTCAATGAAAAGAGATGCTATCTTCATCATTGTAATTGTATTGTCTTTTGGAGAGACCGAATAACCGTTTGCTTTACAGAAGATAGGCTTTGAGCAGTCTTATCTGTAATTATTACATAAGTTGATCATTACATGGGAGTCAGAAAAAAAAGGAAGCTTCAAAATTCAAACTAATTTTTTACTGAATTTAAACCCAAAGTGAATGGCATAAGATAAAATTGCCTTTCTACATGAAAACAGTTTATGTTTGCCAATTTGTCTTCCTAATTTTCTGGGAATTAATGCTTTAAATTCATGTTAAGTTTTTTTTTTCTTTTAGCATACTAGTAAATGCCCTCCAAAGGTTGGGGCTGGTTCCTACCCCAATTATTTCCATAGAAAACTGTTAACCAAATGGCAATGAACTTGCTCTGTGTTCCTTGTGCCCTTGGAAGACAGGCAGTTCAAGTGAGCTGTGTACTTCGAGAAGAAACAAGGCAGAAGGATCCAAAAGAGTGCCTGCCTCATGTCTCATTGAGAACCTCACCTTTCTCAGGGATAGGACAGCCAATGATAACAAAGGCTTTGTGTCACTTTGGGGGTAAACTGGTTGTGGAGTGCCTAAGGCACTTGGGAAAATAGGGTCACTATGCTGGTGGTGATAGGAGAGGGAGTGTGTTCTAGGAAGTTTGAGATACTTTGTATACAACTAAGGCAATATTTATTTGGGTAGTTCTAGGACCATCGAAGTCATCTCCAGAATTGTGGGTACTGGCAGAGTAGGGTTAGGGTTAGAGAAGTAGGGTTTAGAGCAATGCTCAGGGTCCAGGTTTAGGATTACACCAGTCCAAAGGAGTCTCCTATCAGCCTGGGATAAATCAAAACTATAGATCTGCCATGACTGGGGACATATTTCCATTCCTGACTTTCTACTTTTCTCTATCTATAAATTTTATGAACTGTCTTATCCAGGGTGCTTCAACAAATAAATTGATGATTTCCAAATTATATCTCTGGGATTATCTCCTCTCCAAAATTCTAGGCCCTTATCACAGTTGCCTATATGTCTTCATCTGAATGGGCCACAGGTACCTCAAACTCTGTGTTTGAATCTAAATTTACCAATTCTGGGGCTGGGGATGTGGCTCAAGCAGTAGCACGCTCACCTGACATGCGTGTGGCCCGGGTTCGATCCTCAGCACCACATACAAACAAAGATGTTGTGTCCGCCGAAAACTAAAAAATAAATATTAAAAAAAAATTCTAAAAAACAAAAAAAAGTGCTGTAAATTTACCAATTCTTTTCCATTAAAAAAAAAGCACACAAAGTTAGCCCTCTTCCTATTGTTTTTCTTATTTTAATGAATGATATGATTCTCCATCTAGTTTTACCCAAATGAGAAATTCCAGATATCTCTCTTCTAGCAAAAACCAAAAATAAACAAACAAAAACACTTATAAATTCTACCTCTTTTATTTCTCTCAAATCTTTCTCCTTTACTTCCACCCCATTTGTTCCCTGTTGTAACTACAGTGCTTAGAATTATTTTTGTACATTGTAGACATTCAGTAAATAATTTGTAAATGGAATAAGAAAGAGAAGAGAAAAAGCACTTGAGACTGTAGGAAGAAGATAATTAAGGAAATAGACAGGAATTTAAGAGGATTTTTTTAACAAAAATATTTTGGAAGACATTCAAGAGAATCTTTCATCCATAAAGCAAGGACAGACAGCTATGAAAAAGGAATAGTCTGAGCAAAGAACAGTTTCTTGGAAATAACAAAATTTTTTAAAGAAAAGACAACAAAACAAGCAAAGTAATAAAATTGACATAGCTTAAAGCCTCGTTAATAATCTGGAAAATAAAGTAAGGAATCTTTCTACATAAGGCAAAATGGCAGACAAAAATTATGAAAAACATTTAAAGAATAGAGACAAGAGGTCTAATACCTCAAATAGGATTTTCTAAAAGCAAAATAAATACAATAGGATCAAGGCAATAATAGAAAGAATAAAAGAACATTTCCATGAGTCCAGGAGGAAAATAATCCAAACATTAATATCCAGATGGAAAAGATCACTAAGTGCTAAGCGAAATCCAAAAACAAAAAGCAGATTGCCATATTTTATCAAATCTCAGAAGACATTGATTATAAAATGCACCATTATTTTATGTAGTCCTTGCAAGGAAAAACTGTTGCCAGTCAAGCTATGACATTGATAACAATTGTAAGGCATCTCAGTATCAGAGATACTAAGTTGGGGAGATAATATGTTTTTGTTAAATTAAGGAAATAGATACTCATTGGTGAAATTTTAGTTCTCCAAGGATTTAAAAAAGAAAGGAAAAAATAGTTTAAATGCAATGGAACAAAAAAAAAGGAGATTTACATTCATGTTCTCATCAGCAATACTAGTTGTTATAAAAAATTGAACAGTTTCCAAAGGGTAGAAAAAATAGTTTGAGCCCTAGGTCTTAAGGTCTTTGAATCCTAGGTCCTAAAGTCTTAGAACCCTAGGTCTTAAGGTCTTATACCCAGCTAAACTATCAATTGATCAGATAAGCAAAATAAAGACATCTTTGAACTTGTAAAAAAAAAAAGTTTGGGCTTGCGTTGTGTTTTGTTTTGTTTTGTTTTGTACTGGGGATTGAACTTGGGGGCCCTTGACCACTGAGCCACATCCCCTGCCCTATTTTGTATTTTTTTTATTTAGAGACAGGCTCTCACTGAGTTGCTTAGTGCCTCTCCATCACTGAGGCTGGCTTTGAACTTGTGATCCTCCTGCCTCAACCTCCCAAGCTGCTGGGATTATAGGCATGCACCATGGGAGTGGGGGTGGGGGTTGAGCAGATACAATAATGCACGCCTGTATAATCCCAGCAGCTAGTGAGGCTGTAGTAGAAGGATCTTGAGTTCAAAGCCAGCCTCAGTGACAGTGAGGTGCTAAGTAACTCAGTGAGACCCTGTTTCTAAATAAAATACAAAATAGGGCTGGGATGTGGCTCAGTGGTGGAGGGCTCCCAAGTTCAATCCCCGGTACCTCCTGCTCCCCAAAACAAAGAGTTTACATTCATGAAACCTGCATGAAAATTAAAAAAAAATACTGTAGCCAAATATAAAATGAATGAAACATGCAAGGTGATATGGGCACAGGAAATAGGGGAAACTAAGAATGACTCAAAAGCAAGGGAAGATAGAAAAAATTAAATGTTGACACCTGCTTACTTGGAAGAGTCTGGCTTTAGCAGCAAAGTTTGATAACAGGTGTGCACGCCCTTTCTCTGTGATCCAGTTACACTACTTGGTTTTATGGGAACATGAAAATGTTGTAAATGCTATTTATTAGACTTCCATTTTTATAATCAAAGATATTAATAAGGCATGGAGGTTTTATAGAGAAATACACACACACACACAATATAAAAGAATAGCATTCCTTTGAAAATTGAGAGGCAGAGGGAGAAAAGAGTATTGAAAAAGAAAAGAGAACAAATAAATTTCCCAACATGGAATTCATAAGTCAAAATATATTATGAATGTAATGCACTCCACTATTGTCATGTATGTAAGAAATAAAAAAAGTTAAAATATAGAAATGTATGAATATTAGTCATGATAAAAGTAACCACATTAAGGGTTAAACACACACAAATAAAAAATGGGCATATGGAGTAGAGAGAGGAGGTAGAAGATAATGTGGACGCTCTAAATTCCTAATCTCTGTTGTGAGGGAGTCCAAATAAATGTTATCATTTATTTATAATAATAACCACGAGCAACACTGAAGGAAGGGGCTAAGGGCATAACTCAGTGGTAGAGAATGTGGTTAGCATGCCCAAGACCCTGAGCTCAATCTCTAGCACCAAAAATAAGAGTAAGAAAGAAAAAAAACCACAAAATTCTTAGCTTATGAGAGTTGAGAGTTTTATGTTGGTGTATGCTATTGAAATTTTATTTTTAAAATATTCATATGCATTTTCAATCATTAAACATAAATATGAATAAAGGAATTAATAGGTTGGTACATAGAGATAAATGGTAGCATATATGAAGTACTCAGTATAGAGTAGACACTCCATAAATTGTAGCTTTTATGGCTGTTGTTACAAATTTTGTTATTTATCTGTGTGGCAGCTGATGACAACCGTATTCATCTCTGGCTGCCCTTTTATATTTCATCAGACATATGGAGAGTTGGCTCAAAGCTTCACTTGTTGCCTAACACATGTCTCAGAGTTTCGGCAGACCTATGGCAACTACTTTCTTCTGATGTTTTTTTCCTGGATTTGGGCTCCTTCTTCCACTGAATTAAGTCAGTCTCTGAATCTCATCATTTTCCATTTGTGTTTCGTTTAATCAGATACTGAATTCCATCTGATTCTGCAATTTCTATTAAAACCTCCCACACATATACACCTTTATATGTGTAAGTTTGTGAAGGTTGAAGAAGGTAAGTGATAGGGAGAGGTAGCTTCATTTTACATGGAGTACTGAACATCTCCCTGGGCGCTGATCACCAGCAGTCCAGCATACACCACCTGCCCTGTGGTTTTGCAGGGCACATTTCCTACCTTCACCCCAGCCCTCACTCTGATTGCTCAGGGGAGCTCTAGGTTCCTTTTCCTTTATGCTGCAGAACCCTTGAACCCCTGTTTCAGACCCTCCTTGACAGAGCCAAAACCACCCAGAGTGGCAACATACCAAAGGGCCTTGTGGGTCATAGAACCTATTCAGAGAGTGTTGTGGGGATAGTAAGTAGCAACTTTTCTCTGTATTGTAAGAAATAAAGGGATCATTAACCAATATTTTTTTTCTTTTAGCAAACTAAAATCTCACCTAAGTTTCCTGTGGATTCGGTGGATACCCAACGTGAACCCTCCAAAAGAAAAAAAGATGAAACGGTAAAATTTGACCTATCACTGCAGTGAAACACATTTTTTAAAAAACAGGAATAATTGTTTTAACAGTAGTAAAGAACTGGGGGATATGACTAGCATATTTTAAAGTCTCAATCTCCTTTCCCTAAAATCACATCTTGGTTCATTCATTTGAAATGTTGTATTTACCTTCTTTCTTTATTTTTTAGGGTCAGGTTAAACATCTACCACCCATGAAGACACAAGAAGAAAGGAAAGCAAAAGCCTCAGCAACTAGGGTATGATAAGCATTATTATTAACCTAGTTGTTCATATTGATTCTGGCTCTTCTTACAAAGTAACAATGACTTTGGAAGCTATCCTGTCTGTGAAGAGACAGAAAAAGCCAATTTCCTCTTTAGTATGATTCTGTAGCGTATTATTGCCACAACCCCAAACTCTCACTTATGACACGTCTACAAGTCCTTTGTTAGAGATTCATTCCTTTGGCTAAAATCTTTGTCCCCTTGCAAAATATAAAGAGTACTGAAAAATGACTTAAAACCTTAGTGTCATTGATTCAGTCAGATCCTTTCCTCAAAAGTGTTTTGATAGAAATGGAAAGTAAGAGTGTGAGGGGGATGTTCCTGCCTATGAAGAGAGATGGAAAGGCCACAGTAAAAGAAGGGGGGCAAATGAAATGACTGGTGGGGGATGGGGGGCCATGATGATGAAGTTTGATTGCTTTGTCATATGATTTAGAACTGATTTCCTTTAAGTTAATCATTTCTGGTAAATGGAGGCATGGGGGTCTTAAATTCTTCTGGTTTATAGAAATTTGCAAATAACTCTAATTCATGGTTTTCTCAAGTTATGTTCAAAGGCAGTTAGAATATGCATACTATTTAATAGAAATGGCCATTTCAGATCTAGGGATAAACAGGGCATATTGTATATGTAATTAACTTTGTGGTTTGTATTCTTTTGAAAGGATGAAGGGAGGAGAATTTTGGAGATGCACGTGGAAACGTTAAAGGCTAATTTGGAGAATCAGAAGAAGAAATTAGAAAGGTACTGGCAAGGGCGATTCATTACTATTCCTTTGTAGCTAATCCAGCATTTAACTATCTGTAAATTTATTACAGATGTAAAAAGGAATCAGAGCAGATAAACAAAAACTGGGAGAGGAAATTCCATATTCTCAGGAACAGGTATGGTATGCAAATTCTATTTATAAAAATACAGTATTCATAATTTGAGAAAATTATGAGCCTTGCATTTTTCTTTACATAATAATTAATGTTAAGTGCCCTCCTATACTTTCAACAGTCAGAGTCACTTAAAAGAAAATTTAATTTAAGATTATTGCATTCTCTATTCTCTATTTTCAAATTTAAAAGCTCAATAGGACAGGAAGGCTCGCTTGATACCTTGTCTAATCAGACGTATCTAGTCATCTTTCTCTATAGAGCCAATAAGACATTTGCATATGATATGTGACTGGTCTGTATCATGATTTTTTTAAAAATATATACTAGATCCTTTAGATCCTTTATTCTATTCTTTTCCTTTTAACACCAACTCCTTCATCCTTGGATGTATTTTTCACTCACATAATCATTTAATGGTTCTTCCTTGTATCATTGTCATCTTTTTTTTTTCCCCCAATGGTGAAAATGAAATTCTAAATCAAAGGGAGATCATTAGAGTAGAGGAAAGGAACAGGGGAGGGAGGGAGGGGGAAAGTGCTGGGGAGTGATATTGGCCAAATTATATTGTTATATGTGCGCGTGTACAAAAACGTAACAGCAAATCCCATCAATATGTGCAACAATGATACACCAATAAAAAAATACGGGAAAAAAATAAAATGAACCTGTTAAGAATCTGATAAGGCAAATAGAAATGCCAAATAGAGAAAAATACCTATTTTCCCCCTTTTACTCACATATTAACCTTAAAAAATCCACATTCTGTTTACTTGTTTCTTAACATAATTTCCCCCAGACCCCCTTCTATATCACATATTGGAAGTTCCTTTGCAAGATTTTTCAATAGTCAAGCATCATCCAGATCATGACAGAATCAATATCGATGCAACGGAGATCAATCCAGTCAGGCTTGTGGTTCACATGTGACATTATGGAACCACAATGCCCTATGTGTGTGTGCTGTGTTTCATAAGCACATGCTGTGTTCATAGCAATTCCTGTGCACATTACAACAAAATAACTAATCCAGGGTGGCACACCAAGAACCCACAAATCAGAAACAACACTGGATGGGGAGCAGAAGCTCCTCTCCTTGTGGAAAAATGGTGTGCCTTGTGCTCCTAGTTGTACTGATAACTGTTTTGTGCTCTACAAAATAAGTCTGTTAATACCTGCCTGATATACTTCTTACAAGGCAGAATGTAGATACAGGCAAAGCAAAAGAAAACTTAAATATGCATTTAATTTCATTCTTCTGGACAAGGATTTGAACTCTGACGCTGAATAGAACATCTTTCCCTAAACAGTTTTGTGGGATTCCCTTTGAAACTTAAGATTTTGTTTGTCTCTATGGGATTCATCCTATTTTTTAATAATCATTCACAAAAAAATGTTCCGTTTCAGCTCAAGTTGATTTGTTATTAACCAAGACAGTGACAATCATAGTTATTGTTTTGGTCTCTGCAGACTTTATGTTATTGTATAAACATTTAGGATGGTAGTAAATATTAATGCCTACTTCTATTTTTTTACTTAATCAACTAACTTGGGATATAATGGAATATGTCTCTCTAGTTGGTTGTTATCACTGGATTAATGCCATGTATCTATGTGACAACATTGAGGGTGTCTTTATACAGGGTTTGGCATCTCAGTATGGTAAGGACGGTGCTAGAATGGCAATTTCCTTTCACTGTAACTGATTCTAGATTAGGGGCACTCTTTTTTGTTTGGTAGAGGAAAACCTTCTGCTTATATATTCATGATTTATATTTAGTTCTGGTCCATGATTTATATTTAGCTCATGGTGAAGCTCCCTTTCCATGTCTGTTGAGTTGGTTCGATTTCCAGGAAGGCTGAACATAAAGAAGTGCTGTTGACAAGGGTGGGGGCTGGTCCTTTCTCTTAGTGTGACCTGCTTGGCATTTGTCATCATTGTCATTTCTCTTAGCACAAATGGGTGTGACACGTAGGCCCAGGACCATAGAAATCCCTACCTGGCTGATGTTAGAGTGATGTAGCAGCCTCTCCCACCTCCACGCAGGGAGACAATCCAAGTGCCTCCGCCTGAGCCATGCCCTGGTTCTGCCTGCTGCGCTCTGAGGCTGGCTGGTCTCACTTCTGCCCATCACACTTCCCATATTCATAGAAAACTGGTACATGATTCCCCCCCATGGGGGTTTCCCAGATGGAAACCCCCTCCTGCCCTCTTCTCCTCTTACCTCATCCTCAGGAGCACTGGACCACCATCCCTTCAGGTAGCTGACTATCTATGAGAACTTACAAACAGGCAAGGTACAGGCCCACTCTGCTCATTTATTCTCTTCCTCCTCCCTCTCCTTGGAACCCGTTGTAAAGCCCCTCATTATTAGATTTGGGAGAGGGTACATTTAGGTAAACAGAAATTTCACACTGTTCCCCAATTTTCTTCTTCTCTAGCTTGCCTCCTATGTCAGAGGACTATGAGCAATTTTCCTGTACCCATGTCTTCCTAACTCTGAAGTTTCACACCTGACAAACCTCAAGTCTTATGTCTTTGTCCTCAGCCCACAGAAGGATAAATATAGAAAAAAAAAAAGAACCAGGCATTTGAGTTCAATGTATTTTGTTTTCACTTGAGTATACTCATGACACATTCATTTCGTCTTAAGTGAAATCCAGATTTCTTAAGAAATGCACAAGCCAAACCAAAATAACTCTGAACTCTTGGGTAGCCAGTGGCTTTTATAAGTCTTATCCCTGCCTCTCATTCCAGCTGTCTGAATTCTTCTCAGAAGCTAAGTCCAGGTAGTTGAGAAAGTGGGAGGGGCCTGGATTATGAAACTCAAGAGTGTTCAGAAGACCTAAGGCCCTGTGCTTCCAGGAATTGGAAATCCATTTGCTGATATCTTAAGAATTTTCTGTGTTCATAAAAGAGTTGAACAGCTACTGTGCTTTCTCCTGTTGTCCTCGACAGCTGTTGGTCTCACAATCACACTAGCTTCACATTATGAGTTGTGGAGAGCCTTTTCTAAATTCTAGGAGAGATTTGGAGGATAAAATGAGAATTATTTGTTGCTAGGTGGCTTAGTAAAAATTACTCTTTAATTGACCGGACTGAATGTTTTCTTGATGAGCAAATTTTAAATGAATGACTGGGTTTTTGTTTTTGCTACTGTTTTGTTTTGTTTGCAGTGCTAAGAATCAAAAGGGCCTCACCCATGCTAGGCAAGTGCTCCACCACTGAGCCATAGCCCCAGCTCCTGATTCTTGTTCTATTTCATTGTTTAAAGGCCTTGAAGACTATTAACTTTTTCTAATTTCTTTTTAAATTTATTCATAGTTATAGTTTTTCTTTTCCATGAAATTGGGCAACTTGTGTAATTCTTCCAAATTCTTGTTAAAAAGTTATTCTTAAATGTAGGTATAAGTTTCCTATGGCTGCTATAACAAGTGACCACAAAGTTTAGCGGTTTAGAACAACACCAATTTGTTATTTTATAGTCTGGAGGTCAGAGATCCAAAATGATTCTTACAGGGTTTAATCTGAGTTGTTGGCAAAGCTAGTTCCTTCTGAAGACTCCAGAGATAACAAGTTCTTTGCCTTTTCCAATTTTTAGATTCTTCTTGTCTCACTCCAGTCTTTACTTTCCTCATCACATCGCCTACTTCTTTATCCTCTCTGATCTTCCTGCTTCCTTCTTCTTAAGTCCCTGTGGCTACATTGGAGCCACAAGATAATTCAACATAATCACGTCATCTCAAAATCTTTAACTTATTCATATCCACAAAGTCCCTTTTACCATGTGAAGGAATACACTCAAGTTCCATGGAACAGGAAGTGGATATTTTGGTGGAGGGCAACATTCAGCCTACCAAAATTAATCTTCCAGCCACCAAATATTTATGCCTATCCCATATGCAGCATGCATTCACCTCATCCTGGTGTATTCCAAAGTCTCGGCCCATTACAGCTTCTACTCAGATCTAAAAATCTCATCTGTGAATCATCTCAAAGGTCCCCCTTCTCATGATCTAAATTAGGTATTGGTGAGGCTCTGGTTAAAATCCATTCTGGATTTTAAAATTCCTCTCCCTCTGTGGACTGAAAACACATTGTTTTCTTGCAAATACAGTGCTTAATTTCTTCAGTCTTAAATCAGTGAGAAGTTGGCCACTGCATTGTTTTGACATAATCTTTCATGATTTCCCTTGATTTCTGGTAGAATAAAATGTTCCAGGTTTATCTTGTACATTCACTGGCTTAGATCTAGAAATAGTCATTTTTTGAAAGATGACCTAGTTTATTTTAGTGAGAAATTATTTTTAAGCCACAGTCTGAGCCATGGGGTTGGCTCATTTTCATTAATTCTATGCCTTTGCAAAGAATAAAAATACTTGATTTTTTTCAAGTAATAAGTTCATACTAATTTTTGGAAATTTTTACTTGGTAATATTTTTAACTTTTAATGCAATTCTTAACCACATTAACACAATATTTATTTTCTTTGCCCTATGACTTATATACATTTTAATTCCCTAGTTTTATTTATTTCAGCTTTCACGTCCTAAAGGATGAGATGTTTACTAGGCACACATTGTTTCGTCAGTTTGCAGTGCTCACTGATACATCCTTCAATTATGTGGTAAGTATACATCATCTTATATGCTAATTATGTCTGTGGATATATTGTCTTTCTGTTTTTATCATGTATTGAACTCCTGTTATTATAGGCTCTGGATGTAGTACATGCCAGTCACTCTACTACATGCTGAGAGCACAAGACAAAGTTCATAGACCCCAAGAGCTCAGTCTAGTGTGAAATGTAGAGGTGTGAACAGATTGTTACAGTGCAGTGGGACTCAGCTATAAGGGAAGCAAATGCAAATTTCAGAGAAGGGGTGACTCGTTCTGGCTGGGGAGTCTATCAGTCTGCCCATTCATGGTCATGGACACAGCATTGGCAAATACTAAAACTCAAGGTTCAAGTATTCAGTCACTTACAAAGGGGAAAAGGAGGTAAGTACTGAGTCATTCATTTTTACATTAGAGGTTGTATTTATTAGCTTTCAATCACTATAACAAAGTACCTGAGACAAATTACTTATGTAGAAAGAGGTTTATTTAGCTTACAAAGTTCTGGAATTTCAAAGTCCAAGCTTTGGACATAGTACAAGCTCTGTGGCAAGTGCTGCCCTTTGGCCATGTCATCTAGTGGCATATACAATGGTCAGAGCATTTGTTGGAACAAGTGGTCATATCTTGAACCGGGAAGCAGAGAAAATAGGAAGAACCAGGCTTACCCCTTTTAGGCAACCCTCTCAGGAGAACTCAAGGGGTTGCACAAGAATTACCTTATAATAGCGCATCCCAATGACCTTAGAACCCCCGTCACTAACACCTCCCTTAAGGTCCCACCACCTCCCAGCACCACCTTTGGGACCAAGCCTCCAATACATAAACCTTTGGAAGGACACAAGTAAACCATATCCAAACCATGTCCAGGTCATCTAAAAAGCCCAATTCTGAATTAGAGTATTATTTAGCCTGCTAGAATTAGTGCTTTCATTTGTAAATGTAACTGATGCCCAGTATAGAAACATATCCAATAAAATTCCACTAATAAGGGCTAGAAATATAGCTCAGTTGGTAGAGTGCCTGCCTGTCATGCATTAGACCCTGGGTTCAATCCCCATCACCACCAAAAAAAAAAAAAATCCACTAATAAGTAAATCAGCATGATACAAACTCTCTAGAACTTCTGCTATAATGCGAAATTTTCTGAAGATAGACAATAAGGTTTGTAGGAAAGGGCACAAGAAACAAAATGGTTTTTGCGGGGTTTTTTTTGTTGTTGTTGTTTGTTTGTTTTTGCTTCAAGACGTAAAAAATTGAAAATATTTTTTCATTTAAGATCATTTTCTAAATTAAAGTTGCTACAGGAGATCAAAGAACTTGAGTACACTGGCAAGATAGTGTTGAATTCATTGTTTTTAACCAGCTTTTTACAGTAGTCTGTACTTTACTGAGGATTTTAATAATTGACTTCCCTGAAATGTTCCCAAACTAGACTACATAAATAGGAATACACATACTATCTTTCTTCCCTGTTGGTTTTTCCTCTCACTGAAAGGTTACAATTTTAATGGGAGCAATATCATTTTAGGTGTTAATTAAATATAATATGGGAGGGTCCATGAGAAGGCTGTGCCACTCAAAATCAGATTTTTCCATGATTATTATTGGCAAGATTTTCTGGTTCAGATCTGAATTATCCAGCCTTCACAAAACAGACTTCTAAGTCTTAAAGTTATACCAGTTCACGCCCATTAGTAGATTCAGTCTTTTTTCTTGAGAAAAATATTGCCCTCAAATAACCAGGAAATTCATGGAGGAGGAATGGTGCTCTGTCTAGAGTGGAAAGCACCCGTGTGCCACTACTCACCGAGGGAGGGTTCATGAGTCTTTATCTGTATATCCACACAGAGTATTGACACTTGACCCAATCAGCAGAGCAAATAGCATGTGTTTAAGAAAAACAGATGGAGAGGGATTGAGCAGATGTATGAGTGAGTTTGGGATAAAATAGCATTGTCCCTCAGTACCCTACACCGTGTCATTTATCCACCCCATGGATATTTATTAAATGCAAAACAAACCAAGCACCATATTACTTGCTGGGAGAAAGACGGTGAGCAAGACAGTATGGGTCCTGCCTTGATAGACTGTAAATCCCATGAGATCACAGATGGGTTCATCTTATAAACTGTTTTATTTGCAGAGCTTAGAATAGAACCTGACCTATAGACTAGCATAGGTTAACTTTAATAGAGGAACATCAAACTTTAAATTTCAAATTTGAATAAATTCTATAAAAAGGAAAGACTTGCTGTTGAGGTGTCTCTTATGTACGATAAAATTCACAAATATTACACGCGTCATTTGAGGGGTTCTGAACTATGTAACCAGCATCAAAAGTTCCCTCATGTTCCTTTCCACACAATACATGGTCCACATCCTCACACCTTTGAGGCTTTTGTTGCTGTTTTGGGTGGTAATTGAACCTGGGGCCTCAAACATGCTAGACAACTGCTATACCACTGAACCACGTTGCCAGGCCATAGTACATATTCTCTGTCCTCTGGCTTATTTTACACAACACAGCATTTTAATATCCATTCATGTCTTTGGGTATATCTGTCACAGGTGTTCTTCTTATTGTTGAATAGTGTACTATTAACCACAATACAATTTGTTGTATTATTCATTATTCCCTTGTTATAACAGCTCAGCTATTTCCATTAGGAGCTATTGTGAAAAAAAAGCTGCTTTAAACATTCTTATACAAGCCAAGCATGATGGCACATGCCTGATAGCTCAGCTACTCATCAGTCTGAGACAGGAGGATTGCAAGTTGGAAGCCAAGGTTGGCAACTTAGAGAGACTTTGTCTCAAAACTAAAAAAAAATTTAAAAGGGTTGGGGATGTAGTTCAGTAGTACAGCACCCCTGCATTTAATCCCCAGTAAGGAGAAGGGGAAAAAAAGAAATTATAGCAAGAGTCATTTGTGGAAGTCTGTTTTCATCATTCCCAGATAAGAGCAGAATGGCTGAGACACAGGAAACACGTATGTTGAACTTTATTAGAAATTGCAAATATTTGCAAATTGCAAATATTCCAAAGTAGCTATGTAATTTTACCCACCCTCCACAAAGCCTTAAGAGTTCCAGTTTCTCTACGTACTCCCCAACTTGAAATTATCAGTTTTTAGTTTTTAGCCATTTTATTTTTATTTTTTTTAAATATTTTGTTCTAGTTGTAGTTGGACACAATGCCTTTATTTTATTTTTATGTGCTGAGGATCGAACCCAGCACCCTGTAGGTGCTAGGCAAGCACTGTACCGCTGAGCCACAACCACAGCCCCAATTTTGAGCCATTTTAAATGGTGTTTCATTGTAGTCACTACATTTTCATTGTAGTCCTAATTTCCGTTTTCCTGATGTTGATGGTGTTAAACATCTTTTCATGTACCTACAGACCATTCTTAGATATTTGTGAAGGGTCTATTTAAGACTTTTTGAAAAAAAAGTTGTGGGACAATACATATAACAGAAACATTGCCATCTTGACCATTTTTAAGTAGACAGCTCATGTGTGTCAAGCACATTCACATTGTTGTACAACCAAACCCTGGAACTCTTTTAAAATTTTTTTTATTAGTTTTAATTAGTTATACATGATAGCAGAATTCACCATAGTACATCATACATAAATGGAATATAACTTCTCATTCTTCTGGTTGTACATGATGTAGAATATATGTACAAAGGGTAATAATGTCTGATTCATTCTACTATTCTTCCTACCCCCATACTCCCTCCCCTCCCCTAATCTAAAGTTAACTCTAATCTTCCTTAGTTCCTTACCCTTATTGTGAGTTAGCATCTGCATATTAGAGAGAACATTTGGCCTTTGGTTTTGGGGATTGGTTTATTTCACTTAGCATGATATTCTCCAGCTCCATCTATTTACCAGTAAATGCCATAATTTCATTCTTTTTTAAGGCTGAGTAATATTCCATTGTGTGTATATATACCACATTTTATTTATCCATTCATCTTTTGAAGGGCAACTCAATTGGTTCCATAGTTTATCTATTGTGAGTTGAGCTGCTATAAACACTGATTTGGTTGTATCACTGTGATGTGCTGATTTTAAGTCCTTTGGGTATAAACTGAAGAGTGGGATAGCTGAGTCCAATGGTGGTTCCATTCCAAGTTTTCTGAGGAATCTCCATACTGCTTTCTATAATGGTTGCACCAGTTTGCAGTCCCACCAGCAATGTGTGAGTGAACTTTTTTCCCCACATCCTCGCCAACATTTATTGTTGTTTGTTTTCTTGATAACTGCCATTCTGACTGGGGTGAGATGAAATCTTACAGTAGTTTTGATTTGTATTTCTCTAATTGCTAGAGATGTTGAACAGTTTTTTCATATATTTGTTATTCAGTTGTATTTCTTCTATGAAGTGTCTGTTCAGTTACTTAGCCCATTTATTGATTGGGCTATTTGTTTGTTCACCTTGCAAAACTGAAACTCATTAAACAACAACTCCCCATTCCCCATCTAAGTACTATTGTCTACTTTTAATTGTTATTGAATGCAGGGGGTTCTGTGGTGTTTGTGGGGTGTTGTTGTTGTTGTTGTTGTTTTCTGGGTACAAATCCTTTGTCTTCAGAAATTAGAAGTTTTTGGTTTTAATGAACACCAACTTACCTTTTTTCCCTGTGACAGATTGTATTTTCTGTGACCACGACTGTACCACACGTACCATGGATTCTTTTTTTTAATATGGTTGTGTTTTTCCTTTTCCCATTGACTTTCCTGGTTCCTTCATTCTAGACTAAACCACTGTGTACATCTGAATCTATTTCTAAACACTCTGCTCCATTCCACTGGTTTATTTGGCAATCCTTTGGCTAATAACTTACTGTCAAATTTATAGCATTAGTTAAATCTTGAACTCAGGTAATACTGTAAAACCTTCTATTTTATTACTTTGTTCAAAATTGTCTTGTCAGTTCTTTTTGAATCAGCAACTCTAGTCCTTAAAAAAATTGCTATGATTTTTATTGGGATTTTGTTGAATTTCTGTTTCTTAGTCTCACTAGCCAGTGCTTTATGACATCTAGTCTAAGTAAATCTATGACGACAATTTCTTTTCAACTCTTGAGGCTTTGCCCCATGGCAAACTAGTAGACATAGTTGTCTGGCAAAGCATCAGTATTTCATATATAATATGCTTCATGTATAATATATGTTATATATTATGATGTTCTTTCACTCAGCTGAGTTCTTGCTATATAATTCCAACTGTCATTACTAAGGCCCCAAATGTAGGGTGGAATGGGGATCTGCTGTTTAACTGCACGCCTGTGGTGGGCCCTGGGTTTTGACCTCCTGCTGAGTCGTAGGAACCTTTGACAACCCTTTCCCATATTCACTAAATTTGTCAAATGCCTTCAAAGTGAATGGGAGCTACAGAATAGAAGTCAGAGGTTTCTATCTTCTCCTTAGCCTTATACCTGAGCTTGTTTTTGTTTGTTTGTTTGGTTTTTGGAACTAAGGATTGAACCCAGGGGATGCTCTACCACTGAGTTACATTCCCAGCCCTTTTTATCTTTTATTTTGAGACCAGGTCTCCCTAAGTTGCTGAGGCTGGCCTTGAACTTGTGATTCTCCTGCCTCAGCTTCCCAAGTATCTGGGGTTACGGGCGTGCACCTCTGTACCCAGAAGACCTGAGTGTTCTTGATGCTTTTCATCAGCTTATGGCTACCATGAAGAATATAAGAAATGGAGTCTTATTTACATTTCAGTTGAGTTTTATTTGCATTTCAGTTCTACTCCTGTATTTTATTTACTTATAATTTTTCCATGTCACACCCATAATTCTCTTGCATTTGATCTCAGCCTATTTGTTGCCAGATCTTCTATCTTTGTTTCCTGGAGGTGGTATAATCTTGTACTTTATTGTCTAGGTCAAAAATCTTAATGAGTTTTTTTTTTCTTCTATGTTAAATAAAAGACAGTTTTTTTTAAAAAAAATGTGTATGCTTCCTATGATTTCTGAATATTGTTTTCTTTCCCTGACTCTGTAGTTCTTTCATATTACCTGTTCTATTGAATCTGTTCTCCTTGTCAGGATAAAATAAATGGAAATCCAGGGTTATCACCTGTGTCCTTGTTCAAATCCCCCTTTCACATTTATAGCTGGAAGGCAGGTCCAAGTGTACAGCACCTATTCCTATCCCTAATTTGTCAGAGTTTTACATTTTCAGCCCTGTCATTAAAAGGCTGTATTTTTTCCACTAAGAGTATGCAACAATGGCATACAGAACTTAAATTCCCAGCAATCATACATTTAACAGTGGCTTTTGTTGTTGTTGTTGTTGTTATTCTGTTTAGTTAAACATGACGGTAGAATGTATTTTGACATATCAAATATACATGGAATATAACTTCCCATTCTTGTGGTTGTACATGATGTGGAGTTACACTGGTTGTGTACTCAATATGAACACTGGAAAATATGTCTAATTCATTCTACTCTCTTCCTATTCTCATTGCCCCTCCCTTCTCATCATTCCCCTTTCCTAATCCAATGAACTTCTATTCTCCCTTCCCCACCCCTCTCTTGCTTTTTGTGAGTTAGCATCTGCTTATCAGAGAGAACATTCAGCCTTTGGTCTGGGGGGATTGGTTTATTTCACTTACCATGATATTCTCCAGTTCCATCCATTTACCAGTAAATGGCATAATTTCATTTTTCTTTATGGCTGAGTAATATTCCATTGTGTATGTACTACATTGTTTTTATTCACTCATCTGTTGAAGGGCACCTCAGTTGGTTCCATAGTTTAGCTATTGTGAATTGAGTTGCTATAAACATTGACATGGCCACATCACTGTAGTATACTGATTTTAAGTCCTTTGGGTATATGCTGAGAAGTGGGATAACTGAGTCAAATGGTGAGTTCATCACAAGTTTTCTGAGGAATCTCCATACTGTTTCCCAGAGTGATTGCACCGATCTGCAATCTTACTAGCAATGTATGAGTTAACACTGGCTTTCTTTACCATTTTCATGAAAGACAGGAAGGTAGTTGGGTAAGGAGTCATGAGGACATTCTAGATGGGATAGAACTATGGGAAGGTTCTAAGGTGAAGGTGTGCCTGGCACCCAGCTTTGCTGGAGCTGAAAGTAAGAAAGTAAAGTAGTAAATTGTGGTCAGAGGGGTCACAGAACTCTGATTTTTGTAATCCAAGAAAAATTGGGAACTTTTCAGGGTTTTGACAGAGGAGTAAGACAATCTCACTTAATTTTAAAGGAATAACACTGGCAATTTTGGGGTGGAGATGGGCAGGTGATTGAGAACAGAACAAAGAAACAGAATGGGAAGCTACTAACATGATACAGGCAGGAAATGATAGTGACTCGGACCACCTTGGGAGAGCAGATGGCAAAATGAAGCAGATGCCTGCCTCGGGTACCATGTGGTGCTTAGAAGCAATATATTTTTAGGTACATGTAGTAAGATTGACAGATCTTTAAAAGATTGCACTTAGTGACTAGCAGGGATACACAAGGCAGACTGTAGTCTTATGTTGAATCTAAGGTATGCTCAAGACTAGCTTCAGATTTTGTAAGTCACTAAAAAAAAAAATGCTGTCGGTTATGCTGTGGCAATCCATCTATTGTAAGGTGATTCCCAATTTTAGGGGTGTTAAAATCAGAAGGCTATGCCTTAGAATCATTGAAATAGTGTATCACATAATGTCATTAAGATAAATTAAAATACATGTGCAAAATTTCACATTTTGCCACTTTCAAATAAAACATACTTGTCAAATATATAGTTTCTTTTGGGGGGAACAAAAAGGGAGTGTGAGCAGGCTATGGATAGAGAAAAATACATGTAAACACACATATATTCATGCATATATCAATACTTACAAAGCAAAAGGGAAGCCTTGAACAGGGAAAAATTCACATAAACCCTGAGCTATGCAAAACACATTATATGAGTAATATATGCAGCTCTGCCATTTGTATAAAAGTATAGCAATACAATTATGTACAGTACCTACTATTTGATAATGATTATAAATGACCTCAATAAAATAGGAATTGATAGTTAAAAAAAAAAACCCTGAGCTATATGTATGAACCTTAGACTTATTTTCCTTAAGTATATTTTATGTTCCTAAGATTCTTTTGACCTACACAAATTAAATGTCATTTACTTTGCACTACATGATATTGGTGACAATTCTGCCTGCATGCTACAGCTTCTGACCTGCTAGAAGAAAACGAAATTTTTTTGCCTATTCAGTTCTTGGCAGTCGGGCCACCATTGCTGTCACTCCCAGTAGGTAGGTGGTGCTGGAAAGGATCCTGTGGTTCCTCACCAATTATAAGTATAGTTGCTGCTCCGTATCTACAGGTGATTAGTTCCAGGACCCCAACAGACAACAAGATCCTTGGATGCTCAAGTCCCTTATTTAAAATGGCATGCTATTTGCTTATAACCAGTGCACATCCTCTTGAATACTTTAGATCAACTTTAGACTATTTATAATATATAATCCAATATAAGCACTATGTAAGTAAATGGCTATTATACTGTATTGTTTAGGAAATAATAACAAGAAGAAAGTCTGTGTGTGTTCAGGAAATTGTTGCTGTGTTGGTTTTTGGGGAGGTTATTTTCATTGTTGCTGTTGTTGTTTTTAGTGTTTTCTACTTGTGATTGCTTGATCTGCAGAATCTGAAAACGAAGAACATGTGGATAAAGAGAGCAGACCTATAATACATCCTAAGATGAAGAGACAAGCAAGAGAAAATTGAGTCAGAAAAGACTGAGGAAAACATGTTTCTTGAGTTTTTTCCTCAAAATAGCCTGAATAAAGAAGGGGGGTGGGTCTTCTCATCATTGGTTTAAAGAAAAGGATTTCTCCATCCATCTTTGAGCAAATTGGAGTTATGAGTATAGTTTTCATATCTAAGTTAATTGAGGATTGATCCCCCTTGATCCCAACAAACATACCTTTTGTGTCTTTCAGAAAGTGAAACCTTTATTTGTGCAGTCTAAATTAAACTTGGAAGAAACCGCATCTTCTTCAAGTGATTATCATTTGACTTTGGTAGGAAGATTGTTTTTCTCTATTAAATATCCATTCAGTTAATATAATTGAATGTCAGTAATGAAATTTTTGGTCTACTTACAGATAGACAAAAAGTACCCAGAAACAGTTAGTGATCAGCTCTCCTTGCATCAATCACCCAGAGGTAAGAATCTTGGGGTCTGGTGGTGGCTTAATGGTAAAGTGCTTGTCTGGCATGCTTGAGACCCTGGGATCAATCCCCAGCACCTTCTAAAGAGAATAAGAAGGAGATAAAAATCTTTATTGTTAGAAAGAGGTTCACACACAATACGAGTAGTTAGTCTTGATTAACTTTTTTTTTTATCCTAAGGTATTTGGTATTCTGGGCGACTCTTTTCAGCCAATTTATAAAAGTAATGCATAGATAAGATGAATAAAGATACATTAACATGTGTATTCCTGAAATCTGACCACTGCTAATTGAAAATGAACTTAATCTATCTCAAAATCAGAAACTGTCTCAGCTGGAATCCTGTTTCTTGTTTATTAAACTTCCAACAAACATGAAGCTCTTCTTAATGTCCTGTTTTTCCAGGGCGTCATTGGACTTTTTAAAAACTGGAAGGTGTTTTTTGTTTGTTTGTTTGTTTGTTTTTTGTCTACATGTATCTGTAAGACTTTTCTCTAAATTTAAAAACCAAATAGGAAACATACTTAACTACATCTTCCTTCAATCATCTGTTCTCTAAGGACTCCAGCTGAGGGCATTCAGGGGCAAGGCAAATATGTGAATTTAAAGAAATTCATTGCTGAAAGCATATTCATTAGTAGGCTGTAATAAGCAAGTTGAAATTACAAAGTATAACACTGTTAGTTTAAATTATTGATCATGACCTAAGAGTGTCAGTAATTTGTTTTTCATATCCAGAAAGATTTAAAAGTAGAGTTTGTTAATGAGTCTTTATGCAAGGGGGAAGTGTGTGATAAGAGTTTAAATCCTAGACCCCTGAGGGTCAAATCCTCTATTTTTTGAAAACTTTAGCAGAGATATGAAGAATCTCTCCTTTTCCTGGGCCTCTATCCAATGGAGAAGGTTTTCCATGGTGCTTATATGTATGAGTGACAGGCACTTACCCTGCTTAAAAGGACTCTTTCAACAATCAGTGCTGACTACCTCTTGAGCTGATACTTATATTACCATTAATGCTGAGTTTGGATTCCATAGGACGCATCTGCTAGCTTAGGAAGCAGCAAGCTTTAAAGGTATCGTCATTTAAGTATCTAATTGTATCTGTTGAGTTTGTTGTAAATTATAACGCATATGGTAAGTTATTTCTAAAAATGTGGATTGGTAATCTGTAGTTGACCTGAAATTTTAGTTTAGTTAACTACAGCATTTCATTCCCTCAAATATTTATCTGAGGATTTTTTTCATCCAAAATTGACTTTCCCCAGTCCAAAAATCATTTTGTAGAGGAGCCAGATGCAGTGACACATGCCTGTAATCCCAGCTATTAAGGAGGCTGAGGCAGGAGTGTTAGGGTCTGTAAACAAGTCAAGATGGCGCCTGGAATTTTGCCAGAGGGAGTGGTTTGTGAAGTAACGCCAGTGAGCCATTAAGATTATAGAGATTCCTTAATGACTGACTGCTGTGTCTAGATTATGTCAATTAAATTAAGCTGTGTATTCAGTTATGTATATATACCCCTACTGTCCTACAATAAATGGCTCCCACTCCTGCTGCATCAACCTTCACAAGTTCCTCGTCACCCCCCAGTTAGTTTGCCCAGCCAGCCGGGCTGCGGCACAGGAGGATCCCAAGTTCACACCCAGCACAGGCAATTTATTAAGACACTACCCCCAGATCCAAATTAAAAGAGCTGGGATATAGCTCAGTGGGAGAGCATATCTAGGTTTAATCTTCAGTATCACCAAAAAGAAAAAAAAATCAAGAGTCCAAAAGTCCATCTCAGGTATCACAAATCATGGGCACCTGTTATACAAAAGATCACTAACTGAAATAAACACCTCCACTCCTTTTCCTCATCCCTGAAGATGCAAAATGCAGTTAAGAATTAAAAGAATTACCTCCACTCTCTTTGCTGAAAATCCTCCCAAGATTCATTAGTTCTTTTCTTTGCCTTGCTGATAAAATTAAATATAAATGCCCTTTTATGACCCAGAATGCAGTACTGTATCACAAAGCTCATGATTTGGAATATTAATCTGCATTGCAGAGGAGATGTGTGAAAATTTTACACCAAATGCCTCTGGACAGAACCCTGCAGTTTCTTCCTGTTAAATCTCTGATACAAAAATAAAAAGGAACCATAAAAAGAAAAATATATATATATATCTGATACAACTTCGACGTATCATGTTCTTCCCTCTGAAGATAGTGCTGGAAAATAATCTAGTTAACAAAGTTTCTGGTGAACTGGTTCCAGTTACTCCATAATTTATTAGAAATGAATTTTCTATTTTTATTGAACAAAAACAAACAAATGAAAAAGCAGGACAAAAGATTAATTACTAATTTACTAATCTGAGGAGTAAATGAATTTTCTTGTTAGAAAACTCTTTAATGGCTTGTAGAAGGTATTTATGATTGACTTTCAAAGGGTCATATTGACCACCAAACATGTCATTCCCCACCCCTAGCTACTTGGGAATGTTGAGAACCCCTTTCAGGCCCCTGGTAAATAATCTAATACACTATCAGTGTTTTCAAGCATTAATTTGTGAATACATATTAAATTAGCTACATGGTTAATATGTGTCTGATAAATAAATGTTTATTATTTTCTATAACATGAAGGGAGGGATATTGTGATGTAGCTGGTAATAGATCCCAAACCAAACTCTTTTAAATCACTGTTGTTTTTTGTTCCATTTTTTAAAATATGCAGATAGAATATTAATATTTACAGTCTCTTATTCAAAATTATTCTCTCTGACAGGATCCTCAGCATCACATCAAAGATTTAAGTTCTTAGGTTGTACTTTCACACCACAGAATACTTTTAAATGTATATATAGCTACCAGGTGTGGTGGCACGTGCCTGTGGTCCCAGCTACTTTTGGGAGATTGAGACAGGAGGATTACTTGAGCTTGCGAGTTCAAGGCCATCCTGAGCAACATAGTAAGACCCCCCCATCTCAAAAGAAATACACAAAAAAAAAACCCCAAACAAACCAATAAAACAAATATAGCTATTGTTTAGCAGACATAGGTAATCTTCTAAATGGCTTTCAGGTTTTAACTGTGATTCTCAACACGATGCTCTCAGGTCTCTTGTTTTCCCCAATTTTACAAATGAGAGAATCGATTTTAGCAGGGTTTAATAAACTGCCAGGGTTATACCACCAGTAGGGAGCAGGAAGATTCAAATTCAACAAAGTGGCCAAAGGGCCACTCTGCCCATCACCACTTGATTATACTGACTTGGCCCAAGACTTATGCATGGCCACGTATGTCCCATTTCACCAACAATGGGGAGACACATGAGACAAGAGCAAGAACGTGGGCTTGGGAAGCTGAAGGACATTGGTTCCAATCTCAGTTCATCACTCACTCACTGGGGATATCACCAGTTCCCTCTGCTGTGTAAGATGGAGATGGCAACCCCATCCTGGAGGTTTAGTAAAAGAATTAATAAGGGCTGGTAGTTAGTTAGCTCAGTGGTAGAGCACTTGCCTTGCATGAATAAAACCTTGGGTTTGAGCCCAGCACTCTAAAAAAGAAAAAAAAAAAAGTACTAAATGAGATAATGTATGATGTACCTAGCTAATCGTGCTATATTTCCTCCTGAGCTGTTCATAAATATAATACCAAACCTACATTTTAACTCACCTTGTGAGAGCAATAATGCCCAGGCAGGCTAGTGACTTAAAATAACTTATCTTTCCTTTGCCTCTTTAATAACAAATTTTCTACCAGGCATTAAGTATAACTAAAATCTAGCATTAGTATAAAAACATACAGTATTTGAGAGAAGTGTCTTAAAATATAAAATACAATTTGAAACAATGTTGTATTGGGTGTGTCCTGCCCAAGCAGGTTGAAAACGATTTTTGGTTATGTTGCAAGTCCTAGGAATTCTAAAGGGAGCAATAGAGAGTCCTTGTGCCACACAGGAAGCTTTAAGAAATGAATAAATTCTGGTTCATACAAGGGAATAAAAATAAGGCACAATACTATCTGTAAAATTTCAAAGCAGATTTTTATGCAGTAGTAATTATCCCAAGAGAGTGCAAGTAAGATTATTAATTTGTTTGCTGCTTACCTGTGATAAAATTTGGGATCTGAGCTGCCCATTGTGCACTGGGCATTGTCAAAGATTCTGTGTACTCAAGAAGACCTTTCTCACAGTCCAGTAATTAGGTGCTATTGACATTGTAATCTTTGGAAATGTTCTTAATGAGCTCAAAAGACATGAATCTCATAGATAAAACCTCAAAGTAACAGTGGCTCTTTAAGTGGCTTGTCAGGAATAAAAGGCTCAAACATCAGTATCTGAAACACAGGAGAAACCCAAATTTAAACCTAGATTACATTGTGTAGTTCATTCTCTGGAACTTCTAGGAAAGAAATATCCAGGAGTGATTTGAAAGTCTTGTGAATAATGGAATGATCACAGTGCATTTGCTATAATTGAAGGAACTTTCTTTTCACCCTTTGGAACTTTAGACCTGAAATGTATTTTATATAAATCTAATTTTTACCAATTTATAAAGATAAATGTTTATTCAAAGTGGAGTTCAGAGTTCAGTGGCCCCTGTTGCTGTTTTGAATAACAAAAATAACCTTAAAAAGCATACAAGGAATTGGGATTTACGTAAACGATAAAAAGAAATCTCAGGCATAAATAAAAATAAAATCCAACAAGTTAGCATTATTTTATATATTGTTTATAGATCATCAGCTATGATTAATATAATTTGGAGGGTTTTCAAATTCATATAAAAATGCATACCTTATATTACCATATGTATAAATAACACATAACATCTTTTAGCATATAATTGACAGAAGGAATTAAACAATGAATTATGGGTTAAGTTCCAAAATTAACCTGATTTATCACATACAGTATATTCATACAATATAAATATTATATTTATAATATATGTAAATATTAATGATGTCTCTGCCACCAACTTTCCTATTACTTCCTTTGTTGT